AATTGGAATTCCTGTTCAACGTAAATTTTAAAATTTTTTGCTATTAAATTAGATAATTTTCTTTAGAAGATCGAAGAGATAGGTTTTCATTTTCGCTACACAAATTACGTCAAGATATTATGGAGAGTTGCTGAATAATTTACATTTTTATGTTCCTCGCACAACATCCAGACATGAGCAATATTTTTATTACCAATTCTCCTTATTATTGATGGATATGGATTGGGCAGTGTACAATAAAATTAAATAAAAATTTTTCTTATACAGGGTGAGTCATTAATAATGGTACACAGCTTAATGGCATATTGTTAACCTCAAAATATAGTGATTGAGCCAAACATGCCTTAATCAATTGTTGCTCCTTTTCGTTCTACAGGGTGTTAAAGTTGAAAAAATATTTTCCTTTTTTATCTATATTTTAAGTATGTATGGACCGATTGTTTTGAAAATTTGAAGTTTTACGTTTTTTGAGGAGGCAAATACGAATATGCAAACAGTGTTGGGGTCACCTCTAGAGGGCGCTAGTTATACTGTCCTATCAATGGAAAAATATGTCTAACTTTTTGTATTTTACAATTTTAAATTTTTTTATTACAAATTATTGAACTACGTTCAATTCTTAATAAAAAAAAGGTATACTAGTTACAAATCGATAAACTAAACCGTTTTCGAGATACAGACGTTTTAAGTTTTTGAGATTCAACGGGAATTAAATTAGAAATTGTCTGGAAAAATTCATCTTCAATGTATTCTTCCAAATTTATCCAAATATTTAGTCGATAGCCGCACGGTTTAAGGCGTCAATACTTGAATCGAAGTGTACTATGTGCCCGGGTTTCGAATCCCGCGGTCGGTAGACCGTAGATTAGCTATGCTTGTACGGAGGATTGGCACCCTCTGTGCAGGTATGGTAGGGTGGAAGAATGCTGGCTTGGATCAATGTGCATTTGACCACCCCCCTAATTAATGAGGTTTTCCAGGTTTCCCTCATTCCTGCACTGAATGGTGGTTAGGGTCTACCAACATAAGTCGTTCCTGGGCGCAAATGCGGCCTGCGTAATAGTAATATGCCGCCTCCTCTTCCGCACAAGACTCCGGCTTCTGGGCTAACTCTCGTAGTTAGAATGAGGAGTAGAGATATTATTATTATTATTATTATTATTATTATTATTATTATTTTATTTAGATTTCTATATTTATTGAATTATCCTGTTCTTTATAATACGTATACAGTTTGTTCCCCTTGATTAGCTGATATCATATTAATGTAATTGAAAATTTCAGTCGAAAGTTATGAGGTACTGAAATAAAATCCACTGTCCACTCTTTCCAGTTTTTAGTAAATGGCTTAATTAATTCAAATCTCTAATTTCACTATTACAACACTGAAATCAGAATCATCTACAGCAGAACTTCTTTTATGAATTTAGTACTCTCTGGGCGTTACATGCAACCCAAGTTGTTTCAGCACATACTGTAATTAATTTAATTAACTAATTGCTGCTAACGTTATCCAATACGACCGAGGTAACTCAAGTCAGTTTCAATTCTTGTTTTCGTTCCAAGTATGTGGGCACAAACCACGAACTTTTCCCATTGAATGTAGGTGGTTTACTATTGTTTTGTGACCACATTCTATCTCCTGAGCCAATTCCTTGCTGATTGTCTTGGATTTTCATTAAGGAGCCGATTCCATTGCTCTTCATCAAATTCGACAACAATTAATGGAACAATTAATGTCTTCAAAACGGGAAAGTCATCGGCGAAACGTTCGTTTTTCCCATCTCGATTAAAAACAAAAAGAAGTGAATGAATATCCACAAAAATTAAATCTAACGAAGCAATCAAACATACAATCAGGTAGAGCAATAAGTCCTCTTTCCAATGACATGAGTCAATTTGTCAATGCGTTTAATTTTCAAGTGAATTTTTAAATTTGAAAAAAAACAGACATTACTACTTATTCCCCAACCTATTAAAATTAAAGTACTTTAGGTTTTAATAAGTAGATACTGACTTAATATTACTAATTCTAGTTTCTTGACCATTGGGTCTATAAATTGAAACTAAAGGAAACATCGCTTTTGATATTCAACCATCACAAAAATGCAGTAAAATTATGTCATAGTTGCTTGAGGAATCTACAGTGCCTCCTTTGGCGAAGCAGAGAATTCTAGGAAACAGAACAATAATTCCGCTAGTAGGAATTAATACCGTTTTGGAATGGTATTCGACAACTCTCAACAAGTTGCGAATTTTGAACCGGATATCCAAACAGAGTTATTATATGCATGTCAAGTATTTGTAAAATTATATTTAACCAATTACAATGTAGTGGAATCGTGAGAATATCGAACTCGAATTGTCCTCGCTATATAAACCGATCGTTCTCTTGATAATATGCGCAACACGATTCTTCGTAGAGACAAACAAAAGTAAATCCGTATTCACTCAGCTGCGTTTTTCCAGATAACCGGCAAATGTTTCAGAACGAGCTGTTTTTGTAACCTAGAACGCATCAGCACACGCAACGAACGTATTCTGGAAAAAAAAGCTGTTTACAGGACTCTTCTTTATCACTTGTTCAGTCAACAGCAACGCGACAGATAGTAAAGAGTAGAGAACAAAAGACTATCTCGGGTTGATACCGTCGTAGAAAAAATTTAATCCAATAACCCACTGTCGGCAAACATGTTAAATTTGCATTTTTTGTTTAAATTAGAATAAAGTAATAACGTTTTAGTTTTAGCAAATGTATTATGAGAAAGAAACAGTATTTTCTTTTTCTGTTGTAAGAATTTCTGTTAATTTAATGTAATTTCCTTGTAATTTTACATTGACGACCACTCTGATTCATAGATTTGCTTATTGATTCGTCCACAATATACTTGTTTTCTTGTTAAACATAGTATATCACTCATCAATTAATTAAAATATTATTAAGGATAATGTTACTTTATTTAAATTTGATACTGAATTATTTTGGTTGTACGTTTAGGCCTGTTTGCGATTTAAGTTTAAATCCAAATATGAGCCATTTCCCCACACATACGTGACCGAGGCTGTAGAGATATTTTATGAAAAATTCATTTCATGGTATGCCCATGAAGTTAAAACGCAAAGCGGCATTAAACTTCCACAGGGAAGCTAAGGCAAAAGATAAGCCATAAATTTGTTGTGCTTTTATGAGTATAATTTCACGTAGCAGAGACGTGGTTAAAATGAGAATCAGATTGACTTCGAAGTTGGATTATAGCAGTGTTATTCGATGGCTTGCGGTATACTACGTATTTTAATAAGTATTTTTTTTTTGTTATATTTTTTATTATTGGTCTTTATTTAGGACATTGTTTTGCTTACTCAAAACTCAAAGTACAGCCCTATTAAAAAAACAATTTATTCATACCAGAGGCGTAGAAACCAGTATATTAAAAATTTCTGTAAAAAAATATTATAGATAATTAAAAGTAACTAAATATATATATTTTTAAAATAAGTATATACAAACATTACTGTTTCCTTTCCTTCCACCATTCGGACGTAGATATTCCGAAAAACCTGCCTTCAATTGTTGAGCATCCTGTCAGCAGCCGATAGAATTAGCGATGTTATCTCTTGACTGACGTCCATCTCTTCCGGAATTGCATACATGCACAGTATTGTGCCATAAATACACTCCTGTCTGTGGAGCTCTCGAATTTCCGATATCAAGAGCCGCCTACACTCCCTACGCTCTCGCGATAAAGTTTAGTCGTGAAAGACTCGAACGGTTAAAGGCAGGGGCGCAGGTGAACGTATATCACGTCGCTGTGCTATTAAAACGTCACCGAACGACCGGGGCTGGCAGAACGTATCGGAAACCGTACCGGGGATATTTTAAATTCCTTGAAATTTCATCACGGGTTGGTTGATTAGTTGAATAAAAAAATGTTCAAGAAATATTTAGTCTTTTTACTGTCGTGTTCCAAGTTTCGAGGGGATTTCAAATTTTTGCTCAACTTTCCAAAAGGAAAACAGTCTTCTGTTGCAATACGCAGGGCCAATCTATTATGGAGAATGTAAAAATCGGAAAAGCATTCAAAATTTGCAAATAAGGCTGAAACTTAGTGGTTGATCGATCATTCAAGTAGCAACCTGTCTAATGTGTTTCTGGGGCCATTCCCGATAATTCAGTTTCAGAAGTAATTACGCCATTAACATTAAACTATGATTACCCTTTGCACATTACATTTTTGGGCTTGAACCGCAGCTAACTTCTGACTAATGGTTAACTAACTTCCACGAAAGTGCGCCTTAATAGTCCAATTTATTAACCGAATAACTCAAATCCCCCAGAACACTTAAGAAGGCGCACGCCGCTGGCCCCCTAAATATGAACTGCAAAAAGATCAATGTCGAGCAGACTCGAAGGAAAAGAGACCTCTCCAGCGAGTCGTCCGACATATCCCCATAGTTTGACGCCTGATTGTTGGGCGAAGATGGATGATAACGTTGTCAGATGTTTGAGAGAATGCTCTCTCGGAATTGAGGCGTATTAGTTTAATTCCAACCGCAAGTGCGGACCTAGCTGCGAAAGATATCGATCATCGTTCCCGCGAGCGCGTTTACCTAATGACACATCGGCGAAATTGAACTTTCGTGCATCATAATTTGTCATGGAATTTTCAGATACTATGCGAAATTAATAGGGCGTGTCCCGAACCTGTGTGCAATCTAAAACGGGGTTTTTGTATAATGACGGGACTTGGGACGCAGCGGAAGGGTAGTTCCGCTTTAAGCCATCTCGCTACTTGATATCTGATCCGGGAGATTTAAGTAAATGTTACAGCGGGATATTCTAGAAATGTTCATTTTTTCAGGCTTCACGGCAGGAAACTATTTTAAGTATTAAATTCTATAACAGTGTTTAAGGTGTGGCCAGGATAAATTGACTTAACCTTCATCGCAAATGAATATTTCTGTGCCACTTTAATGAAAGTTACGGTGTAATTTTGTTGCAGACACCCCATCCTTCGCCATATCCCGCGAACCGGGCTTCGGTTTTCCCATCAGGGAGGGCATGCCGGTATCGCTGAAGTGCGACGTAGATGCCAACCCAAAGGCCCTGCCGATATGGCAGAAGGACGATACCAGCCCGCCAGTGCAGCAAACTCCCGACGGGTTCCTCAACTTCACCGAGATCAGGAGGGAACACAGCGGGTGGTACAAGTGCATAGCGAGGCACAGACTGGGAAGGTTCTCTAGCATAGGGTACTTCCTCAACGTGAGATGTAAGTAAGCCATAATTTGTTTATGATTGATCTCTAGGAATGTATGACGCTCTTAAGTTGGTGCTATCTAAGGGACGGAGAATACAAATAAGGAGTTGTGATTGGATTAAAAGTAACATTTTCATCAGTCATTAATGTTTTTAGATTTGCCTTCAGCCCAGGAATCAGCCTTTCTTTACCATCATCTTCATCATCACCATCACCATCATCATGATCATCATCATTGGATCTTTGTCCTATGTTACCACCGAATCCAAAGGTTCGAAATATCAATTCGAATTTCTGTCTATTCTTGGTCTATTTGAGAACAAATATTACACGGGTGTATGTGTAATCTATGTTGACATGAGGGGAAAAGAAACTTCGTTACATTATTGTAGTTACAATTCCAGATTCTAAAAATAGTATGTCACGTACATTTACAATAATTACTTCTCGTCTGGGTTCTGTTCCTTACCTAGAAATTCTCAAGAAATATATCAAGATTAGATTGGAAATTGCAACTGAAATTTCAAGCTTTTTTATGCGCTATCAAGTAGGTAGATATTACAACCAACCAGTCGGCAAAAATACCCATTCTATGATTCCTAATAAGATTGCACAGTTTTTGAAACTACAACATCCTGAAACATATACAGGTCATTCATTCCGAAGAACATCGGCAACGTTACTGGCAGGACAGCAGGACTGGCAGGGCGTTACAGGAGTTGATGTATTAGCAATCAAGAGACTTGGTGGGCGGAAGTCAGCCACAATTGCAGAAAGTTATGTTGCTGACAGTTTAAGTAACAAAAATGGTATAGCCGTGCAGCTTTGAATCATTTTTGCATCACTTCAATTACTTCATTATCATCTTTCTGATCCTGGAATTATTCTTTGGAAGGTCCAAACAAATGAGATTGAACGTAACATATTGTATCCAATACCAATGTATTTTCCAACGGAGTTGTGAAACTTAAATTTTATTGGCATCATGAAAAAATGTGATTCTTCTCACTCTAATGATTATTTCTTTATATAGCTCTAATGGCTTTCCCCTAAATTAATTGATTGGAGGTGAGAAACAACCTACAATATCTATCGACATAAAACATTCCTTTGTATTTACTGGCAGAGAGCTGCCTACTATTCTGTAGGTACTATGAAGTTTTACTAAGGACATATATTGTGGGAAACTACTCGGCTGGCTACAGGCCCCTTCCAGTATTTGATTACACCACAGGGTAGTTGTTTCCCACACTGTCATTAGTTAAAAATGCCCCTCTCGCTTATTAAAAAATTGATCGTCGCGTAAACGTTACGTTCGGTCAATTTTTGTAAGTAAACAGCGCGCCAGAGGTCCTTACCCTTGTCACTGTGACCGAATATCCGACCCCGCGCCGCCCCCATAAATAGTTGTGGTGAGTAGATTAGTTCGGCGAAGTTTTCGTAAATGAGTTGAAGCGTCAGTGGCAGACATCAGTTAATTAAAGCTCGGAACACGTTTTATAATGGCGGTACTTCACGCCATTGTTTATTAATGGCTACTTATATTTCACGTCCGTCGGAGAGACGTTTGTCTTTCCTAATTCTTCTATTAAATCGAGTGCTAATAATTGGAAAATGTCTGGTTTCCCACGACAACTTCAAACTTTAAACCTGTTTTACGGTGGCCGATATTTGAACCCAATAAATTGGCCAAGAAATTGACCAAGTTTTGTTGGTATACGTTTAACGTATTAAGCGCCACAAAATATAACAAGTTATTCACCAATTTCATCTTTTTTCTTTTTCTGAAATTGTATATGGTGACATATAATAGTAACGCCCATTACAAATGAACTATTGCCATTGAAAACTTTATATGTTTAATTTACGAGGAGAGAAGATGTCTTCCTCGAATTTAATGGGCAGTTTTTCGAAAACAGAACGGCAATAAATTTGTTTAATAGTGGTTCCTTGGAAATGTTACAGAATATCAAATTGCTGTTAAAACTTTTCAAATAATTGGATGGTTATAAAAGGAATACGTAAGTTGCAAGCAGTAAAATGGTGATAATCCAGTTTATATGGTTGCTATCAATTTATCATGAATTAATCGGTGTTGTCAGATGGTTTATTTCTCACCCTTGCGAGAGTTTACGTTTATAAAATATTTGTAGCTAGGGAATTGCTTTTGTAAGATCATTCAAATAACACGGGCCCACAAACAGAAATCGAAAAGTCCTTTTTCCCAGACTAAGCGACCTTTATGTTTTCGGGGTCGCTGATCACATCCCGTTGTCCATATGACTCCATCACTTCTAGAACAAGGTCATATGAAGGTCAATCACATTAACTTACGTACCTTTTTTGTGTCAATAATGTTGGAAAATAATAATTTGATACCAAATTTGATATACCTTAAAGTATAAAAAAGTTATGTTGTTTTTAACACATTCAATCTACTGCAGCTAGCGCCCTCTATAAACTTCAACCAAAATGTGAACAGATTTCAATTCCTCTACTTAAACAACTCCAAATCCCAAAATTTTGTGAGGATATTTGCATTTGTTAAGGTATAAGCCTAGAAAATGTAGGCACCCACTCGACTTTGTATGAAAATTTACACTTCAACCCCCATAAAGGGGTATGTGGGGGTGGTAAAGTGACGCTAGGGGGTAGCGAAGAGATCTAATTCATTTTTGGTGGCCTTCTTCGTTCTTAGTGGCCCAGAGAACATAGGAATACACATCCTACTCGACTTCGGGGTGTTAACGGGGAAATAGCTGGTTAAAATTTTTTTTATGGTCATATTAGATTTCAGTGATCCCAAAAACGGCGAGGTAGGGGGTCGACGTTCAGGGTCTCGACATTTTTTTTGTGTGCCTATGAAATGAATCCAACCCCCTCGTCAACCCTCAGCATCCTTTGCCACCCACGTTTGTTTTCAGCAGCCTAGCTGAAAAAAGATCAGAATATCTTTTCGAATTTAGATAGAATGACTTTTTGTCACAAAAATATGACAATCACAAAAAAAATAGGCAGAAAATAAAGTCAACATGGAACTGGATTACATGTTTTAATAACGTTCAAGGCATATTAAACCGAATCTTCAATTTTGGAAAATGTTGGTATCACAATGTTTCTTTCGGTTTTTGAACAACTGTTGGTTGGTTCACTATTCTCCAATAGTTGTTCATATGTGATTTTAACGGTTTGGACTTTTTCCATACATTTTAGCAAATTAAATTAAAAAAAATGAAACAAATTTACAATAGCAATAAGCCGTAGATTAACTGGTTTTAACCACTATACTTTTTAGCAATCGAGCAAAACGCTTTTTTCCCAACATATGTATCTTCTGTTTTTTAAATCAATTTTTCATATGTTAAGCGCAAACGAAATACGGACCTGGAATGTACGATTTACTCTCGGACCATATTTATTACAGAAATTTTTAGGGGTATAAATTGGTTGACATTGAAAATTAGTTTTTTTGTAAACGATATATTCAAAATTTCATTTCATCAGAAAAACTCGATCTGCGGTTCTGATAACTTCATTATCTTCCACGTCTACAGCTCTCCATCAATAACCCCGTTATTTCTTCGGATCGTACCTCGAACGCAATTTGTTTTTCATCCTTCTTGTGTTCCAGATGACATGGAAGTCACCCAGGAGCCAGACTTCGACATCGGCGAGCTCAGCTCCACTGGGAGGCAGCTGGAAGTTTCCCTAGGTGGGGCCGTCCAACTCGCCTGTCCTCCAGGTAAAACTTTTGCTAGTTCAGTACGCGTACATAAATTCAGTTAATAGTTTGCTCCAGTTCGCCGACGCCCTCCCTCCTACAACCCATAATAAACGCAGAAGCGGATTGATGATCGCTTAAATATTAATGCCACAATAACTTATCCCCCGGTCTAAGTAACCTGATTAGCGATGATTAATATCAGTTAATCTCGGCGAGTTACCGGATCAGCCCGCACCCCGTCTGAAGATGTTAATTATAAATAAGAAACTGTAACTTCGTTATTTGGGAGGGGGCGTTGGTCCTTCGAAGAATTCGGTTTCTATTCGCGTCTATAAATCAAGGTTTATTTCAGTTTAGAACCACAAAAACTTGAGAGCAGAGCTTACAAGTCTCCTCTGACGTCAAATAAAAATGATACAGAACGTTCGGTTGCTAAATAACCCAACGAAATTTGAAAAAAAATCAAAAATTCAAAAAAATTGAAAATTTTCCCTGCTAGTGTACCTATTGGCGAGGTATCCGTCCCCTGGTTAATAAGCTACAGTGTACTCGGGTTGACGTTCAAACACACTCAAATCAGAGTCCGCAACGGGCCTGCAGTGGTGTCCATCTTCGAGGTATTATTGATTTTGGTTAAAGGTGCTTTGGTCTGAATTTCATAAAATTTTGAATTATTTTCTTGTCCAAAGAATTGTAGTGAAATTTTTCGCGCCTCGTGCACTGTCGACGATGGCTCAGCGGTCGATAGCGTGCTCTGTTAGCTGCTACGGCTGATGTTGCTTAGCGACAACCAGGGCTTCGTAGAGGAACTTTGGTAAAATTTCGAAACATGCGTAAAATTTTGTGGGCGAGACCCTGCGCTTTCCGATATGCGTGGTAGGTCATCTGCGGTTTCTTGTCCATGATCTCAAACTTTTAGCGAGATTTGCACCCGTTAGTCGTTGTTTTTTTTGAGAATTTATCAAATTATTTTCAAAACATGGGTGAAAAAATTATTTTCAAAACATGGGTGAAAATTCGGGACCCGGGACTCGTATTGTGTGTGACACTGGGTATATGATACTGATATCTGTGTCCCAAAGTAACCTGTAACTAGTTTGCGTTACGTTCCCGGTAACGGCTGCTCAAATACATTAATTGCGCCGTATTAACTACTTTAGTCATAATCTTCCATAATACGGAACTTCCGGAACTGTTTGTCAGCGAGTTTACCGATCCTTTAAACCTCAGACAACAACAACAATTAACCCTGCCGACCCTCTAGTACGGCAAATATTTGCATGATTTCCTTAACAGTTCCTCGCATGCGGAACAAAAGCGCGGGGTTGTCCGACTACGCCCGGAAAATTAATAATAAGTATTTTCACTAATCAAAACAGTTGAAAATGCGAAACGGTGCTTAAAATTAATAACTAATTTTAGGTAAGTAAGTAATATCGAATCTGTTAAAGCTCATTTAGAACCTCTGGAATTGTCCCCTGTACGACAAGAAGTGCCGAGCTATCAGTGGGGTCAGTGGCTGCAAAAATCGCACCTCGATTTATTTAATCTTCTCCAAGATTTTAAACGCCCTGTAGAAGGTGAACTATAAACTTGTGATGTGTTTACTTTACGGGCGTCGTTTTTAGTTCCCTCCAGTGGCATAGCGACATTAAAATATCCCCGATGCCCTGTGAACATCTCGAATATAAAATGACATCGCGTCGGGGGTAATTTAATTTTTAAATTTTTTAAATAAGGTCGGGGGTTAGTCTTCAAGGTCTTTAACGCTCGAAATTAACGGCTTAATTACAGTTTTACGATCAAGAAGACCGTCTAAACTTACACCACAATGAAGAGGATAATGTGAAGGTCATAAGAAATGCAAAATCTCGTGGAACATTGCCACAGTATTAGACATATCTAAACTTAGACAGAATCAAGACTTCCTAAGTGTTTATCAAGAATTAGTAGTTAATTATAGTTATTTACACCATAAGAGAGGTAAGTATTATTTACCAGCCGAGGACGATTTTGCGCCCGAGCGGAGCGAGGGCTGGTAATAGAATCCGAGACTGGTAAATTATACTTAACTGCTGCGTGGGGTATAAACATTTTATCTGCTCCGTTCTTTATGGTTCATGAAATAACGATTATGTTTAATTTTTTGACATTTCTTAATCAATTCATTTTCATTATATTCGAAATCTTGAAAAGTCGCCTTAGTTGTTTGGATTTTGTCGTTTCTAAGGTAAACAGAGCTACATAAAAGTTGCAATTTTCCTAATTCCTAATAAGATTGCACAGTTTTTGAAACTAGAACATCCTGAAACATATACAGGCCATTCACTCCGAAGAACATCGGCAACGTTACTGGCTAATACAGGAGTTGATGTTTTATCAATCAATGATATTAATAGCATTATTATCTTAAGATATAGTTTTCTTTGCAATCTAAATAAATATGACTAGCTAGAATAGTCTCATTTCTAACATTATGGCCTTCACCAGCCTTCACCCATAAAAGAAAGGTTTCCAAAGGTTTTAGGGCTCTTATAATATCCTCTCCTTTATTTTCAAGTGCCTAACTAAAGTCAACTTGTTTCACTAAGCCTTTAATGAGTGAAATGGAAGAAATGCAATTAGCCAGTTGCTGTTGTGTCCCTTGGTTTATTATTTATTTTTGATGGATGTTGGGTTTCAATGTGTAATGATATGAAATCAAAACGCGATTTATTTCCTCTCGTTTTCAACTAATTTTTTTCTTAGTCGTCCAGTATGGAAAATGATCGTCTACGCCCATGCAAAATCAAAACTTGGGAACGGCTTCCGCTGGAAGTGGAGATATTGGAAGTTGCGGTTTTTGAATCGTTCTCTCAACTTCAGCCCCCCGAAAAGTGCCGTAAAGTTGCCCCTGAGATTTCGTTCCTAAGATAACTTTTTGAATATCGAAAGGATTCGTCGTCGACTTTATTCAATATGAAATAAATTTTATTTCCTACACAAACCCAACAAAGTTTTACTGCATTTCATAGGCATAAATAAACCGTTTTACACCGATTGTGATCTCGCGCTGATATAGTCTGGAAGAAGACAAATATTATGCCGCTGTTGTGGCAGTTATATCCTTTGTCTCTTTCGCGATATAAGCCGGGATCGATTCCGTAAAACGACTGCTAGGTTTGTAGATGTAACATTACCACGAATATGTAAATACACCAAAACGAACACGAGTTGGAAAAGTAAAATATATGTTTTTGCACATATAATATTGCTGTCAACATACATTTAATAACTAACAATAGTAACTTGACTAAAATAATGTATTTTAATGTGAATAAACAAATATTTGTTTTCCATATCCAATTATTTATTTCAGCAAAACAAATTTATTTCACTGGCTCCATTTTTTTTGTGTAAATGAGAAAGTAATTTATCAGCGCTCATCCGTACAGCAAATTGGAATATTCTTTAAAGACATTGGAATTAACCTTACCCCTAAAAAAGGTGTCTTGTGCTGCTCAAACGGGTTCGGCTGAAATCAGGCAAAAAGTCTAGATATCGTGCAATGCCGCAAGCGTGAAGGTTTACTACCTCCAATTTAGTTTGGAAAGTCGTGCCTGTAAGGGATCTTTACGTAATAATGTGTTTTTAGAACCTCACCTTTTATTAAACTTGGTATAAGCGGAACAATCAAATTTCACGAATAATTTGTGTAGCACTGAGCACTCGAAAACCAATTATTCTTTTGTCAGGGCCCTCAGACTTAAAAAATAATTGCTCTTGTTTTTAACTTTATGGTACACGTTTATAACGTCTTCATTCTTCAGTGTGAGAGGCATTTTCTTTTAAAAAATATAAAGCGTTTCACCTTTTTCAAATAAAACAATTTGTTTTGGCAATAGAAAGTTTCTTGTTGGAATATTGGTGTTACAGAAAAAACTATTTGTTTTTTCAGGTACTTTGGATTTGCCCTGTAGAACCCTCAGTATACTTTGGGACTTACTTTCCTCTAAATAATCAAGGGCGGCTTCAATGTAGTTAATTACACAAATACACAATTCCGATCGTGTTCCCACACTGGCCAGAAACTGCTGCTCTGAGTATAAAACTGCAAGACCAAAGTCGACGTTCGATCACGCTACTTCGGGGACTGCTTTTCGATATGGATATTCTCATCTGGCTTCTGCGGATTTAGGCGATTCATGTCTGTTGATTTGCCCCGTCGTGGAATCTGACTGTTGTTTTATATTTATGTAAGACAACTAACTGAATTTCGTATCCCAGTTCGCTCTGCAACGGCATCGAGCTCCCCAAATATCGTCTGCTGCGGTTTGAGGTGTTTGGAGCGATTTGCGCATAGCTTCGACCGTTGTATTCGAATATGATAATTTCGATTTGAAACATAGGCGAAAATTTTAGTTTTCGCTCAATGTCTTCTGCTTCACAATGATGGTCGGCTAGATGCCTTCGAGCATCAGTAACAACTTTTGGCTGCGTACAGAGGCTCTTAGATTCGAAAGTTTAGTGAATTCCGAAATCGTAGGAGACTATAGGAGAATCTTAAGCAAAATTGTGTACATAATTTTGCTCATAATTGGGGCTTTTTTGCATTTACGGTAATTACCATTAACAGAAAATATTTTCCTTAATATTCAGCTATATGAATTACCCCCAAAATCCCCCTTCCCCCATCCTCGTTGTTCTTTAATTAAACTGTAGGTAATTTCCTCGAATATTCTCAGTTCCTTGCCTTCGAATCTAGACGGCTATTACTTTTAGCCGTTCTAAAAATAAAAATGGCCATCTAAGTACTTAATTATCATTTGTGACATTTAATTTCAGTTAAAAATGTGAATTATTGCCACTTCCCATGCGAACTTATCGCTTGCTGCGAACCCGTGACCGAATTCTCTTTAAAGGCGTACCTGGTTTTAATATCGCATCAGTCTCAATTCAACTTATTTATTAGTTCCCACTTGCAGGACCGTAATTTCTCCGGATTATGTGACCGAAGCGCCGTTTGTTCACACTTCGTTTCTAAACGTCCCGAGTAACGTTTGGAATATTAATAATTTGATTGATTCATTTATTTTTTAAATTACTTCCAACATTTTTCCTCTAAACTCAATAGGGAAATTATCAATAAAAATAGTTAATCAGATATGTCTCACGAGGTTGTATGGTTTGACTTACTGAAAAACCGTCCTGTCCCAGGCGTGTCAGTGCGTGCCATAAGCGTACAAACGGGAAAGACATGTTGTTATTCTCACAATTTAATTATTCCGATAAATGTTGTTAATAATGTAATATTGCAAATATAAAAAGGTAATTTAACGTAGGTACATCATTGAGTGGATTTTTCCAAATTCATTTGCAAATAGTCACAATCACATCTAGACGTGAAGGCCGAAAATGTCATCAAGTCGTCAGTAAAAAGCGATGACAGTTAATGAAATAGCTTAAATCATTAATAAAGATATATAATTAAATTGGGCCCAAATTGGAGCCCTGCGGAACTCCAGAATTAAGAGCGGATTGACTTGTACGCACCAATATTTTCTTTGTAGGTACGACAGGTTGTTGGACGAGAGTAGAACCAGGAACTGGTCGCCTGGAGCCGATGGGTGCCTCCCAGGAACTAAGATTGGACAATGTGCTGTATCAAGAAGCAGGGGAATACCGATGCGTAGCTCCAACAAGAGACGCAACGCGAAGGTTGGATTCCCTAAGAAACGCTTTGTCTGTCCAAGTAGTAGTAAAAGGTGAGTCCAAATATCTAATTTAATCTCTTATCCTATTTTTGATTGTACAGGGGAGTTACAAATAGAATCTTGTAAAAAAAATCAAAAAGGGCGCTAACATAAATCTTGTCTTACTTCACCATAACGCAAATGCTACGATATAAACATATAAAACGATATCCATCAACTCGAGTTGCTATACAAGTAAGCCATTTTTGACACTTGGAAAACTAATGTAAACACTATCGCTAAACGTTAATACTAAAATCGGATTTCAAAATTCGGAATCGCCTAACTCCATTTTTTATGACACATCTATTGTCAACTTTTTTTGATATGTTATGAATCACCCTGTATATTGTTGTGGAAATGTTCTTGAATCGAATTGTGGGAAAGGAATATAGTCAACAAATTTGTGAAGCAGGTAATGATACTTAAATGACGAAGTATCTAAAAGTTGTATTTGTTGATCTTTAGTGTATGCGCAATAAAATCCTTCAACGAACAATAAAAATTTGAAGCAATCATTCCTTGTACAATGTACTAGTTTGTAGATAGTTCACTTTGAAGTTTTACTGTCTTCTAATGATCATTTAAAATAAAACAGCACGAGGACGAATGGCGAAATAATAAACATGGATTTCGTAACGTACACCATCCTGTGTTAGTTTAAAGATCCCATTTTCGTCCAATTTAAGTTACCGTAAGCTGAAAGTCGTAAAAAATAGATCTGCGGTTTTTGTGGCTGGGCATTTCTATCGAACGACCGATTTGTACTGGCTTGAAAGTTCGATTTAAGTCTAGAGTGTATGTTTAGGTCAGCATTTACAATGATACGGCTATTGTATCTAAAATTTGAGCAATAAAATTGGTGGAAAAAGCCTTACATGTTGAACAGCCGCAAGGCAGCATTTTCGGAGAAAATGTTTTTAATATTACAACTTTATACAATAAAATATAGTGTTTTTGTTTTCTTTTCGTTGGAAAATCAGTTTTGGTATGGTTAAAAATTACTAAAATAAAATCAAGATTGTTTCGTTCGTTGTAAACGGTTCATTACGACAGATGACGCTAAATTGACATTTGCATTATTCAGTATCGTCCGTCGTTCGTATCTGTTATCTTTTGAATTGTTAAAAATTATAATAATTTATATATAATGTGTAGAAAATTTCTATTGACCAATAACATACTTTAATTATCTATGTCCTCAAACAATTTGATTATATTGATGGTTAATTTCGTTTTGTTCCGTTTCAAAAGGTCCCCAAAATGCCATGTTAGTAAACAAAATATCCCTCTTATTTCTCCCTTTCGCAATTGTAATAGAAGATGCCTATAATATATTAAAATTACCTGAATCACACCAAATTCCGCATTGCTGCACTGCACTGCTAGGCAATTTGTCAACAACTGAAATTTATGGCCAGATCGCCCAGTTTGGTTGTGTGTGTGCCGCGTTTGCCCGCGCGCTTATTCTTCAACTGGGCGACCAGAGGTGTATATGGGTATGGTTAAATAAATATGGGAACAAGTTTTTCAAATATTTAATGCCGAGTTGCTGCGTCGGCGACCGAACCTGGTTCTTCAATTGAGAACGAAAAGACTATACAAAACTTTATAAAATCCTCAATTTTTTCTGGTTTTAAGTAGTTTGTACTGTTAAATATGACGCTGCTGTGCGATTATGATAAATATTTGTCTATTTATAAGTTCTAGCGATAGTTACTGCGAAGTAGACCCAACGGACAATAATTATCTCTTTTTTCCACAGCAATGCAATTCCTCTCGGCGCTGTTAAAATCTGGTCGTCAAATTAAGCCTCCCCGATTTTACGGTTAATCTCCGACATACCAACCATCCTTCCCTATAAATTATTGGAGACATCCCATGAATTATAGACCAAGTCATGTGTTGTTTGCGAATTCATCAATTCGCTTTGCTCAAATTGATTGGAAAACAGCGGCTTTAATGGATGGGGACGTAATTTCAGATCATTAAAGGCCTCGGCAATACTTCCTTTGATAAATGAGAGGAGGAAATATTTTTTTGTAAGATTGCATCGAACTTGTTTCTATGAATGGGTGCATTTTTCCTTAGTTCCTTAATGTTTTATCCAAATACGTTCTGTGTGTTACAGTTTTGTTGTAGTTTTAGGTAGCTTGAACCTTAAACTATAAAAAGGCGCTCTTGGTTGATGTCGATAAAATGTTTTCGAGAAGAAACTGTTTCTGTTTAATATGATTTTTGCATTCTTTCTGTGCCTATCTAAAGAAATGCTTTTATTTGCATTTGTTTTTCCCTAAAAATTATTAAATTACACAAGTTATTACAAAAAATCGTTTTTAGGGGGCGGGCGTCCTTTGTATAAATCGGATAGATTGCCCACATATTCTGGGACACCCTGTATAAAAAATACATCCTTATCTTCCAAGGATTTAATCAAATACGTTCTATTTGTTGCATTAAAATAATTTTGCAAACGATTAAAACCCTCCAAAATGTATAGACCGCCATTTCATTTGATACCAATATTCAAATCTCTTTTAATGAAAACCCATTTATTAGCAGTTGCCCGTTAGTAAAGGTAACCGTTTATATTGCATTATTGCGATTTAGGCAATAAAGTGAATTGTTATTGACTGTCATTTTTTGCCACTGGTGACTGCGTTATCCATAAAAATCGTTCGATTCGAATCGTTTTCATTTATCTTTCCGAATATAAATCCTCCATTGTATTTACCTCTTCATTATCCAAATTAAATACGACGTCGATTGAGGTACTACAAGTTATTATTTTTTTAATAACATTTATTATATCATTATTAACTCAACTTCTCATCTGACTCCGTGTTGCAATACGGGTCAATCACATTTAATCTATTTTTATAGCTTGGAAAATCCGCCTAAAAACCAGCTATTTGACCTATTATTATTTTTCTAACAACTTATTCTTGGGATTCCTACGTTCTTTGGAATGCGTTTCGCGTGTTATTTGAAATATCGATTTTTCTCTTCATACCAGATGCTCAACGCATGGCCCCGACAGTCTTGAAGTGAACTTGTTAAAAAAAATTTTGCTAAATTTCATAAGGCCTTCTCCGAAGGACGCTACCTACTTGAAAACTCTCAACTTTTCGATAAATTAGTGTTGACTGAAATATTTTACTTTTTGGCCCATCCGTTCCGAGAACTAATAAATAAATTACCACGCGTCCCGGATTTTGTTACAAAAACAAGGAACTACAGACCAAAAACGTATGTATATTGTGCGTATTTAAAATTAGTAAGAGCTCGTACGACTTAAAGCAAATTATCGTGTTTTTTAAATATGTGGCGGATGTGCCGGTACGGGTGACCTCTATCGACTTGGCTCCGGAAAGGGGTCATACTCCACGCCATGTAGACACATCGCGGGCATATTTACACGGTAGCAACTGCCAACTAATCTCACCTAATAGTTACCGAGCTTACACGTAACGCAAACAATAACGAATAGCTGTGCCATTCATCATCGGTACGGGCAGACAGTAGGCCGTAAAACGCGTTGAAACCCCCTCTGGGCCGATCACCGACGGATGGTTCGCCTACATTTCTTGCTGTCGGAGCTTTGATGAAGGAAATGACGTAGTGCAGCAACGAGATGTTGCCTCTGTTTGCCTACGTTTTATTTTCAACAAATGTCAGATGGCGTTAATAATAATTTTAGTTGCATTTTTTAAGTAGTTTTGAGTGTAGTGATTATAAAGTTTTGTCACCTTATAACACCTCGACAGATAGTGGCAACGGTATTGTTTGAGTTTCCCTCCTTATTGTGCAAAACCGTACTTCTCTTATCAACTTCGACGTCACCTGTTACATGGATGTTGTATAATAATGAAAAAGTAATATTGACGGTTGGTAAAAGAAAGCGCAAAAACTAACGTTTAGGTAGGCAATTCGAAAAGGAAGCCTAAATAGTCGAAGATAGGCAGTTGAAGTGAGAACAGTGTGCAGATAGGTAACAAGACGATCGGCGGACAGTGTGTTAAAGTAGTGAAAAGTTAATTGTTTAAAGTGTTATTAGTTAGCAGGTAATACTCTTTAAGTATATGTTTAGGCTTCGTTGTCTTACGCTTAGGGGCGTATATTTTTCTAATATAAAATTGTTACAATTATTATTTAAGGCTGTTCATTATTTATGACATGTTCAAATATGTATTTTGTCGAGACCGCCCAGATAGTACAATAACGACTTCTTATTTCACATTTAACTGGTTTTATACAAGATCATGTTGTTCTTTGATTTCTTGTGTCCACTTTATGTCACACGAGCCTTGTTGCAGTTACTAACATTTTCGACCGTGCGGAACGAATCTGGATTACGCTGGATAGCCTCCCGTATGGGACTCCAGTGTTAAGAAGGATCTTCCGAAATCTCAACTATAGCTGAGTAGCCTCCCGTATTATGGGACCTCAGTACCTTCCGGCTCTGCCGGCTAACTAACACCAAATCTCTTCAGTTTTACTTGGAAGTGTGTATGACTAATATGGGGTTAACAGATGACATGTAGTGACACATTAAATGAGACAGGTCTTAATTATCATCAGCAAAGGTTGTTAATTTATGCCTTTGGTTAGCGGTTGTTTTTGTATTTATATTTGGGTGGTAAGAGCAACGATCGTGGGTTTCTCTGCCATGCTCTTTCCCCACAGGAGCTCTAGGTGAGCCTGGCACTCTCCTTTTATGTTTAATGGTTGTTAATGTTTTTGTTGTTCTTTCTATTTGTCACATGTTTAATTTGAATTGTATGTAAATAAAGGTTAGGTGTATTTACTCTGCTTTTGTTTTATATAATTAAACCATACATCCCCTCTACAAAGTTAGTAGCCAGCGCCTATTGGTCAATTAAAAAATAAATACACACAACGTAGGGATTCCTTATGACGATCACATATTTTTGGCCACAACTACGTTTACCTATTTTTTGTCGAACCTAGGGTTGTTATACTACATTTATACCATACCACTATCACTATAC